TTGCCGCGCATTTGTTAGGCAAAACCGTTCACAGTAGTACATGGGAAACAATTAATAACAATAAATGTATACGTTAAAGTAGTAATAATGTTCAATGCGGGGAATTCTTAATAGATATGCGCGAGCGAACTATCTATATGACCCGGGCCGAATGTAACATTCGGCCTCCCTCCGTGCGCACCTCCTAGCTCCTCGAGATCATGTCCTATCCTCTTGAAAACAATCTCATTTGAAAGCCCTGCTTCGATTCTCGGGGCCGCAAAAGGGTCACAATCATTCGACGCAATGGATCATGCGCGAAAGCTTGCGCAATCAGGTAAGTTTTTGCATTCTGTCAACTGTGACTAGAATATTTCTAAAAACTTGAGCAGGTGCTCTAAATTCCGTTTTTTATTTGTGACCCCTAGGAATGCATATCGTCCTCATCATATCAATATTTCAAGTATTTTCACCGTCCGATTTGTTTCTATGCATTGTTCTTTGAGCTCACTCGATAAGCGCCCGCTTCGCGCGTAGCTCATTTTATTTTATTCTCGCCGTACATCCACTCTATCCCCTAGGCGCTGCTTGCGACCTCTCGCTATACCATTCACCTATATGTATGCCAAAAATATCCGCGAACGGAGCCCTTTGCGACCCTCCAGGTCGTGTACTTAGATACGCTCTTGCTGCCGATTTCCCTCCCCGATCGAGAAGCCTCGCGCCTGTTCCCACCTCTCGCCTCTCACCTCTCGCCTCTCAATCTCGGACCTCACCCTTGCTAGCTGCGACTTCCTCGACATCATCAAGTACCCTACGCGATGCAGAAGGACGCAGAGGTCTTAGCTGATAGGTGAGTCGTCTTTTGAGAATCGCGCGCATTCCTTAGTACTTTAACCCGGGCCGAATGTAACATTCGGCCTCCCTCCGTGCGCACCTTCTAGTTTCTGAAGTTCTCCTCTTATTGTCTTGAAAAGAATCTCATTCGAAAGCTCTGCATCCAATCTCGGGGTCACAAAAGGGTCGCAATCAATTGACGCAATGGATCATGCGCGAAAGCTTGCGCAATCAGGTACGTTTTTGCACTCTGTCAACTGTGAATAGAATATTGTCTAACAACTTGCACAGGTGCTGTAAATTTCTTTTCTTTTTTGCGACCCCTAGGTATGCATATCCTCCTCATCATCTAAAAATTCCATGTATTTTCACCTTCCGGTTTTCTTTCTATGCATTGTTCTTTAAGCTCACTCGATAAGCGCCCGCTTCATGCGTAGCTCATTTTATTTTCTTCTCGCCCTACTTCCACTCTATCTGCTAGGCGCTGCTTGCGACCTCTCACTATACCCTTCCACTACATGCATGCCAAAAGTTTTCGCGAACGGAGCCCTTTGCGACCCTCCAGGTCGTGTACTTCGAGCCACTCTTGCTGCCGATTTCACTGCCGATCGGGGAGCCTCGCGCCTGTTCCCATCTCTCACCTCTCACCTCTCGCCTCTCTGTCTCGGACCTCAGCTTTGCTCACTGCGCCTTCCTCGACATCATCAAGTATCGTACCCAATGGAGAAGGACGTAGAGGCTGTACTGAGTTCAGCCGGTCGGACGCTATCTATATGCCAATGGCTCCAAGCCCCTTGGAGCCATGGATTTTGTTTTCAATCTATGCAATTTAATTGAGATGTTATAGGCTTGTGGACACCCTCAACAGCAAGCTCGGCATCCCATTGGTCC